AAGCGGCCAAACAACCCACCACCACCATCACCACCGGTTATTCCACCATCAACTCCACCATAGGAAGCCCACTCAACCACTAGTCAACCACCAAGAGCCACCGTTGGTTTCTCTCTCCTCCTTGCCGCGCAACCTCTCTTGCGCGTTTTTTCTTCCTTCTTTCTTTCTCTTCCAGCTGCAACCAACTCTACCGCCGCTTTCACCACCGATTTCAGGTTGTTTTTCCCTGCCAGCCAGCCATAAACGCCACGCCAGGTGGTCTGCCACCCTTCCCCTGCTCCTTCATCTTCCCCGTGGAGTTCCACTGTCTTGAATAGTGGAACGTGAATTATAATTCATGTTCCACTGTTCATAAATGAACAGTGGACGTGAATTATAATCCATGTCCACAGTTCATGCAGTGGTTTTTTTTAGTCTAAAAATCTTTTAAAAAAAATCATTTCAAAAAATTATAATTTTCTTGCATAATTTTTTTTTACTAATTTTGCATAATATCGGGTTGTATATTTACACTGTAAAATACAAATCCAGTATTAAAATATTGGTTTCCTCTGAAATTATAAAAAATTCTAAACATTGTTTTAAAAAAAATATTTTGTTGCATACAGCCAAATCCTAAAAATTTTCTAAGCATGTTTTTTTATAAAAAAAAAAAAAACAAAATTGCATCTTTTTCATGTTTTTTTAATCCAGAAATGGATATTGTAACTAGTTTATAATTATCCATTAGGATTTGGCCAACATGTCACAAAAAAAATTTCAATCCTTTTTTTAGAATCTATATGTAGATTTTAATATTTGTGGGGTGTAAAATTGCACGATAAAGTATACTCCGAGGTGTTAAAGATACAAGATGTAAATAAATGCTATGCTAAAATTCAGACTTTAGAACGCTTAGGATTTAACCCGATAAGGTAGAGACTCTCTCATGAAGAGAGATTTACCTTGAACCTTAGAAAAGACCAACGAATAGAAACCCAACTTAGAAAAAAAAACAATCAAACAACAATGCAGCTTATTTTAGATAAGGTGTATTGGGAGTGATGTGTCTTGTCCTTGCATAATCAATAAGGTGTATTAGGAGTGATGTGTCTTGTCCTTGCATAATCAATCTCTTACTCAGACTCTCGCAGACCATAGGTTTCTAATAACTATAGTACTGGGTGGCGACTCTTAAAAATTAATCATAATTGTACTAGGTGGCAACTCTTAAAAATTAATCATAATTTTTCAACACACAACACCCCTTATTAGGAGACACGACAAGAGTCTCTGTCATCGCCAAATGCTCGCACACCCCACGACATTATTTAATTTGATAAAAAAAATCAAAAAATACCCAAAATCCAACCATGAAAACTAGAAAATTATAAGAGATAATTCTTTCACCAAAAATATTATTTTTCAATCTTTTTTTATTCAAAAATATCATAAAACCCTATATAAACCATCCAATAAGTCTATGAAAAAAATCCAAGAATTACTTGAAAAAAACAAAATCAATAGGAAAAAAACAAAATCTAATTCCTTTTCTATTTTTATTGATATTCGGATACTAAAAATAATTATTATTAAATTTTTTATTAAATATAAATTGTTGACATTAAAATTAATTTTTTATGATTAAAATCGGTATTAACTATTTTTTTTCTTTTTAACTAGAATCCAATTATTTTTTTTTAATGAAATTCATAGTCCGGAAAATAAAAAAAATTGAGCAATCACTTCCGCATTTTCCTTCGTGCTTAAAGAAAAGCCGGGTTACGTGAAGTACCAAAAATACAACTTGGAAGTTGAAAAAAGCGGAAGAAAGGCATATTAAATGTGTGCTAATTAAATGCTTTGGAGATAATCAAAGACATATGGGCTCCATGAATGTGAACAGTTGGAGATTGAAACAGCCAAGCTATATATCCAAGTAGTCAAAGCTAGCAACTGTCCCTTGAGACGTGCGAGATGTCGTAATACTAACTCCGACTAATTAATGTACAATCTAGATTAGGTCATGGACGAATAAATCCATTAATTAAAAAGCTCTACCATGCTACTTGATTTCAGGATATCAAGTTCTTGGCCTTCATACTCGCTCGAATGACAAGCTTGTCCTGATTATGACCTTAGATCATGTAATAAAGTTTTACAGGACTATTTTTTGATATATATATATATTTCATAAGTATTTTAGAAAAAAATAATTTTTTTGTTTTAAATTAATATTTTTAATGTTTTCATATTATTTTAATTTGTTAATGTTAGAAATAATTTAAAAAATATATATAAATTATTATTTTAATATATTTTTAAATAAAAGCATTTTAAAAAACAATAATTACTATCCTTTCAAAGACAGAGTAAAAGGAAAGAGGGGAGAGGGTAAGAGAAGAAAGAAAATGATATCCATTGGTAATGTTTACCTTGGCTTTTTTTTACCACTTATGGTTTTTGTCACATGTAGACTTAAGAAGGATATTAATAATTAAGACTTGCCTCGCATCACATTAAGTGCTGTCAATTGAATGGTTCGGACCAGTGCTTAATTTTGACCAAAGATCAAATGACTTGCGCCTCTGCATGCTCTAGCTACTTGTAATATTAATCCGTGGTCCACTGTAATAATCTCACATCAAGACTTGCATAATCTGTACAATAGTTTATATATATACAAGGCTTGCATGATTTGACTTTGAGACCAAGAATATACATTTCAACGTCTGTATAAACAGCTCTAGAGCTTCAAAAGTAGAGCTCTCTGCTATGCTGAAAACCAAAGAAGCAAAACACTAGTTTGAAGCTTCTCTCAGGACCTGGCTTCACAGATATTTCTAGGTCTTATGTGGCCATGGAATGGTGCATTTCGGGCAGTCGAAACATGAAAAGCTATGCAGAAAGCCGGTATGATCGGATTGGGTCATTCAAGGCACTGGTCAGTGCTGAGTCAAAGACACCGAGGTGGAGATTGTTGTGGAGGAAGCTAGTGAAGACAAAGAGGAAGGTTTTTGACAGTTCATCGTCGGCCCAGGTTTATCTTACCTATGATCCTTATACCTACTCTCAGAATTTCGATCATGGCTTGGTGATGTCCCACCCCGATGACAGCTCCCGGTCTTTCTCCGCTAGGTTTGCTGTCCCTTCCAGGATCTTTGAGAAGGGTGAAATGGTATGGCATGATCAAGGGTTGCTCGTTTTACGTAGTTGAGTTTCCTTAATTATTTCTCATGAAAACAAGTTCGCTATGTATGCTGATCATAAATATATATTTACTTACTTCCAGCAGTTTCCTAATTAAAAATTGAGAAATTGATCACTGTTAATTTTGTTTTCTGATCGTACCCTCCCAGTTAATCTTAATTTCTTATTTGTGTTTTGTTTCTGATCGGTATATATGATATTAGAACTTTGGAAGTGAGTTCACACGGGTCCTTTCTTCTTCTTCTTCTTCTTCTTCATCATCATCATCATCATCTTAGTGTTCTCTATAGCTTAATTACATCAAAAGTAACTTTAGACCAGGCTCTTGGATTATAAATCTTTTTATGAATATCCAATTATCTTTACGAAGAATCTTGTACGTTAATGTTTAGTTTAACTTCATGTAATTTTACATGAATTAAAAAACTAAAGAACCTTAATTAATTGTATTAGTTATGTAAGCTTGACATTGTAGAAAGCAAAACAAAGAAAAATTATTGGTAGTTGGTTGAAGTTTCCAAAGACTAGTTTAATATAAAGTGTTTTAACCAAATTACTTAAATATGTTTTCGCAAAAATATAAAATTACATAATATCTTTTTTAAGTTTAAATATTAAAACTATAATATTATTGATAAATATAAAAGAATACACATAAAATATCTTAAATAGAATGTTAAGTACAGTACTTGGATTATATAAAAGATGTAAATCACGTTGCTGTCGAGGATTATATGGTTCTTATTAAGGTTTTATTGCTCATCTTAATATAAATAAAATTAATGTACTCATGATTAGTTGTCCTCTTAATTAAGGTTCACAAACTATATACAAAGTAGAACAAAAGAAAAATAGAGCAATAACTAAGTAAAAACGATCGAGTGGTAAATGAAGCTGGAAAAACCATTGGAGAAGAAGGTAAAACACCCCCTCTTCGATCCCTTGTTATACTATAATTTCAAATTAAAAATGGTGTAGAATTACTAAAATTAATTCCTGCAATTTATTAATTTTAATTATTCGCTATATATAAAAATAATTTGCCAATTCTTTACCTTTAAAAACATATATGTTTTCCCATTAAAAAAAATAAAAAGATTTTAGACAGTTTATTTATGTGCTGATTAAAAAAATAATATCTAAAATTTATTTTATAATAATTTTAAACTCGGATCCAAAATAAAACCAAAGAGGGGTCTCTTTTCTCTAAAAAATTTTGTGTTCTACAAGTTTACTTTTAACTCTTTCACTTCATACTATAAAACTTAAAAAAAAAAGAACATCATGAACCAAAATTAAGGAATCTGCTGTTAGTATTTATTTAGATTTAGAACATCATGAAGATAATCAAAGCAATAACGATCATTGATGATTAAAAGAAATCTCAATTAATCTTCACTTACCGGGAAATATGCATGTTCTGACCATCTTTTTGCTTTTTCAAGAAATTCAAGCTTTAATTATTAACTAAGTCCAGGTGCCTTCGATAGAAAATATTAAATAGCTTTCTTCACCCTTAAAAAACTATATATAAAAAAAATTATTACAGTGTTAGGCAGCACAATAATTAAAGAAAGCATGATGTAGATCCAGTGGCTCAGACATTGCATGTATACGAGTGGTCACGTTATCGCTAGCTGACTTATTTAGATAAGCACATGAGCTATGGAAGGTTTACTTTGCACGCACCATTTTAATTCGATCTCAACAGTTAAAATCTCTCTCTTCTTTTTTTAGAATGAATTTCAGGTTGATTTTAAGTTTTTTTTTTAATTATCAAAAGTAAATTTAAAATCTTAACAAAATAACATTGTTTAAAAAAATTAATGAAATACTATATTTTTATCATTTCTGAAAAATAACATTTACTAAAAATACCATTATGAGAAGATAATTATTGGATTTTAAAATAACTATACTTAAACGCCTATGAAATTTAATTTGGCACATAATTCAGAATGGGTTCATCTAGCTGGTCTCTCGATCCATGACAACAAGGAAATGAGTTGCTCTTTTCTCTCAATTTGGCACATAATTCTCAACTATGGATTTTAGGGTTTTTTTTTATTGAATTGACTCGGGAAAAAAAAAAGGGAAGAAAAAGAAGAAGAAGGTGCAGTCTCGTAGAAGCGAAAAAAAAAAAAAACTATGAACAGAACAGTGACTAAATGAGTTCAATAAAATAGCCAGAGAACATGTATAAAAGAAGTTTGTTTTGGAGATTGAATAAGTATTTTATAGCTACAGGTTTGTCTCCGTGTAGTGGGTGTATGTGAACCTGCCAAGTAGGTGGCGGTGGACATGCATGGCCATAGTAATCAAGTGCATATGCCAGGTTTCGGTAGCTTATCGCTTGCTGGTCATCGAAATTATTATTGATGCTGTGTTTTTTTGACCGCGACAATTAGTTTAATGTACTATTTTTGAATTGTGATATTCTAAAAATATGTTATTTTGTTAAAAAAAAAAATTGTTTTTGTGTCAATTTACTATTTATTTTTATTTTATATGCTAATTTTCTAATTTATTATGTTCTATGCTCAATAGGAGGATTGACATTTCGATTTCACTTGTTTCCGCCGGAAATAGTCTCCTTATTTGATCAGAAGTCAAAACGACGCTCGTGCTCAGGCAAGGGCAGCACCAAAAACAACTTGATGGCATCCAACTTAGTTGTCTCTTCCTATGTCTGCCTGGCGTAGTTTTCTTTTTTCTTTTTTCTTTTTTTGGGTCAAATATGGCACCCATTTCTATGAGATGCTTTTGGGCTGTGGGGCTGATGCTGCACCGTCTGCCGGTTGCACAAGGTCCCATCGCTCTCGTTAATTAAAAATTTGTACGCAGATTTCAATTGTTCAAACTTCTGGTCCACAGGGCATTGTAGTGGCATGTGTCTCTGGAATTTTAGAACATAAAAGAATTCTATTGTTTAATAATTTAATATATATTTATATTCAACTCATGTAAAAGTTATATAAAAAACATAAAACAAAATAAATTATACAAAAAGCTTAATTATTTAAATAATCTTTGAGTTATTTTTTCCTGATTTATTTCTTTTATCTATTAAAAAATAATTAAAATTATTTATCTTGATTATTTCTTTAACGGTATCATCTGATACTAAAATTTAGTATATAGGCATGATATATTTAGAAAAATAGATTTTTCTGAATAATTATTTTAAGATTCAATAAAATGAAAAAGAATATTTATAATTAAACATCATTGACTACTCACAAGTAATACTGTTCTACCTATACATGATCACATGCAATTTGTTTCATTTTTCTACATTAGGTGGATCATTTTTCTCCAGGTTAGTATGTATATAGCTACTTAACTAAAATATTTTAATTAAAATCAATTTGCAAAGAAAGTCAGAATCAGTAGGCTTATTCCAAAACAATGGTCCATCGATCCACTCAGCCACGACTAGTCAATATATATATATATTCTTTTTAGCAATGATGGAAGGGAAGAACGACGCCATAGATCAGCAGTATTTGAATAATGAGGTCTGGAATCAGTGTTATGTATCCATCCTATTTGGCCACACATTTCCTCTGTCGACATTGCTGTCGTTCTATAAATTCACCCCATCCCTAATTAAGGAAAATAAAACCAACGTTGAATGATATTTTTGAAAAATTATTAAAACTTGAAAAATAGTCTAGTCTTATTTTTTTATATTTTTTTTATTTATTAACCATATAAAAACTTAAATAATATAAAATAAGCCACTTAAACCACTCTTAACCTATATAATATTGTCACTTTATTTTATTTATAAAAACTCTAAAAAGAAGCATAAAAAAACCAATAATGATTAATCCAAAAGTAATGAAACTACATCAAAGTTCATCAAATTAATACATTAAATCTTTATTTTATACATAAAATATTTATATTTTGATATATAATCATATTTAATTATTACAAGTTAGAGATACTACCGTATCATATTTATATTTTGATAGCTCGATAACACCTATATTCTTAAGATATTTTAAACTAACTTTTAAATTTTATGTGGAGTGAACACCCACATGAAGAGTTGATGTGGGAGCTTGAATAGAACATGTGCAACAAGTATCCACACTTGTTCGATCTCAATGCTAAGACTTCTATTCTAATAATTTAAATTTAAGGATGAATTTTATATAATTTGAGGAGTATATTAAGATCCAAACTTTTGACCAAAATCAGCCTAAACTCACTGAAACTAAACTAGGTAATTAAAAGTGTTGCAAGAGAGTTTTCTTTTCTCTTTTCTCTTTTCTCTCCTTTTCTTTTCCTCTTGTGGTGATCTCCTCTCCTAAATGTAAAGAATTTTAGTATGTTATAAAACTTAATTGTTTGGTTCAAGAAAGGTTGAAGAACAAGTGATCTTCTCTTATGTTGTTTTTTGTTTATGGTTTGTTTATATAAAGATTGAAGAAGGTTAGGATTTTGATAAGATTATAATGATTTCATGACCTAGGAGTTATAATTATAGTATTAGGGTGTTATTTGGCTTAAAACAAACTGATTTAAGCATATAATGATAGGTTTTAAAAGAACAAGTTGTATGTTTTTGGGTTCTGGAGATTGAGGACTTGTAGGTTGAGATTTTAGAAATCTCAATTAACTGGTCAACCAATTAGTCTAAATTACTTGACCAGTTACTTGTTATTGTCGATCTACTAGTTGATCAATCCAATGGACTACTTGACCCTTAGTGGCGGTTAATCAGGTATGTTAGGTTTGATCAGTCTAGGTTATATTCAGAATCGATCAGGTGAATCAGGTCTATTAGGTTTGATCAGTCTAGGTTATATTCAGAATTGATCAGGTAAATCAATTTGGTTTTTAATTAGTATTTAAAAGTGTATTTTTATCAAGATTTTATATTATCATTTTGCACTTGAAGTATCAATAACTCCTTAACTAAAACATGTTTTATAATAACATATCTAATAATATAAGATACCTTTAATTTATGCTAAATTT